GTTCATGTTACCCACTTGTACTGACTCGGTCGTACCACAAATAATTTCCCTTGGCGTTGGTGAGCATCAGAATTCCCAGTGTCTCATAAACTGCCGGTTATGAAACGTACTCGATATCCGTTATATATCCGATTGCGTGTATGATCAACTGCCTATCTCGACGTTATTGACAGAGCTGCATTTGGAAGAAATGGCACTTTGAAAGATTCCGCCTTCAGTTTGGTTCGGTATCTTTGGTTAACCGTCTAAGATGCCGAATTGTGATGGTAGAATGTTCGAGTAGTCTGTTAACTCTTTCAGTAAAAATGTCTTCAGTGGTATGCCCGAGGATAAAGCGTCCGCGCCTCCAATCACCTGCTACCAGATGGATGATAACAGAACATCAGAAACAGGAACGATCGCTGGGATAAGAGCTTCATTCGCCTGACGTTTCGGATTCCTGCTCGGACCCATCATCATAGACAATAACAGATACTTAGAAAAATTCGCGGCTCCACCCTTCATCGGAGATTGTTGCATTGATGTGATGACTGCTCGATTGTCGGCATTCGCATCGTTTATCACCGGAAGTTCATCCCGCTTGTTGGGTATTGGTGTGATGATTGTTCGACCATCTGATCAACCGATCCTAGCATTTGGGACAGAACATGAGAGTTATTTTCCACACGCCTACCGAAGTTTAGTTTTCTTGAAAATCGGTATACTTTCGGCCTCGTCCTATGATCAGACTTGACTCTAGAGGTTGTAACGGAACAAAAATGCCATTGGCTATTTGTTGTATTAAAGCTTGATTTACTCTGTAGTTTACAATTTTGTCAGAATGGTTAACCCCATACGACACAGTCTGTCCAGTGATATACGATTCCCGTCGTCTGCGCCGACCAGAGTATGTAAACTCCGCAACAAAATCTAGGTGATTTGCATGTTTTTTACGAGTCCAACTTCAAGCCCATTTCGATGAACGTGGTGTCTTCCGACGACAAAGGAAGCAGGACGAATGTTTTTAAAGGAGCTCGCTAACTGCGTGACAACATCAACGTTGTCGGACATCAATACGTTGTCAATGCATCAACCGAAGTCCATGCCGAAAACAAAAACGTCTGAGATGTCATCCTCAATGAAACCGGTCCCAACTGTTGCACGTTGGGCGTGACCAATCCTGTCTTCAAGCCCACTTATAATCCCACGATATTCCGTCTGCGAGGCTATTGTGCCATCTGGCTAAACCTTGCTAGACTGTCTGTTGTTGACCAACTAAAGTGGAAGGCGGTCAATTGGGATACTACTAGGAAACAACAGGGTGTCGACTGAATAACAAATGCTATCACATGACCCCTGTCAATGGCGGAGAGGTTTGAAAACACGTTTGGGTTAACCAGTCCTGTTTCATAGCCGCGTGGATGTAAACAGATGAACGTCGGAGTAAAAGTCGGGAAACTAACCCACTTTTGGATAATTCATGTGAGAGGCGACCGAATAGGATCAATTGAAACCTATGGACAGCAAGGAGATACCTTAGATAGTCAATCATACATATATGAGCTTCGCACTTCCCGAAAACAAGCAATCAGAATCTTAACAGTGTCCCAGAAATAACCCCTCTGGCCATCATTCCGAACACGAAATCACGCGGAGATATAATATAAAATTATTTTCTCTCCGGACATATATTCACGTTGAGTTCTTATCCAGCCATTGGTTGAAAAGTTGGTGGCTAAGTGTCTTCTATGGAAGCTGTACAACGTGTTTCATATTAAGGACTGAGTCTCCCTCCTGCTATCCGTCTCCACCGAAAAGTTGGGTTACACGGGAATCCGCTTACATTCGACCAACAACACGTTTTAGAGGATTTCGTTCGGTCTTTTGTATTTTTTCAGGACTGACGTATATAAGATAAATTCTGTGATCTTGAAGGCAGATTCAAGGACCTCAGATAATCGTCCATGTACTCCCAAACATCTATTTGACCGACTCGACAGTTCGGTTTGGTAGTGATTTAAAGCAGACTGCCCGAGTCACATCTCGTATGAATTTGAACGTGGCAAAGTAAAGAAACTTGATTTTTAAAAAAAACTGAAGATCTTTGTTAGGCAGGCGCATATAAATATTAACAGCAATGTATTAGGTTTTACTTGAAAGGCACGAATCTTTAATAAATAATCAGTTTAGAACATGTTTTTGTGTAGTTTAAATATGCAGTTATATGCCAGTTTTATCCTGCTTAAAATCCAGTTATGATATAATAAGGAACAAAGGTCCTCTTTTACTTTGCTTTATACCAGTCGAAGACTAAGCTCCCATGTTCTTGGGCCAGCAACAATTTCAGGTCTTTTATGCCGAAAAAGCAACCGCCCCACGAAAATAACGTCATACCTTGTTTCCGTAGACAGTATCTCTCAGTAGAAGGTTTTGGAATCGACTTGGCTGGCCCACTAGTTCAAAGGTATGTGAATGATCGGCAGTCACAATAACAAGAGTTTCTTCAGGGTCGATGGTTTTAATTGTCGCTGCAATCGCGTCTTCGAAATCCATCATTTCGGCCAAAGCTTTCCTTTTCGAAGATTTAAAGAACGCAAAACTTTCAGTCAACTTTATATTGACAGTGCGACATCACCAGTTATATCTATTAAAATATATGTATATCAGCGAGAAAGGGCGACAGAGAGTGCGGGTAGGTTGATATAGTACTGAATGATATTATCGACAAAGACAAGGGAGACTGAAATGGCCATTTCTGGCTTATTAGCCGTCGTCAGCCAATCATACCCAACCCCGAAGTTTGGCACACCCGAGGCTGTTTCGGGCTTATTCTGCCTTCATTCAGCTAATCATAACCCTGACCAGCAACTGGGACCAAAAGCACAAACATGCGCACATACGCACTTGGCGCAGTTGGTCCACCACTCGGGTCTACCTGAGGGGCCATAAGCACTTCATCGAACTGTACTTCACCGTAACCTCGCCACCTGTCTTCCTCTGTTGCTGCAGATCGGGTATTTATTCACTCACGAATGGGTGCACACCGATCTATCCGGTTCGGCGAAGTGTTTATGGCCCATTTGGAAGACCCCAGTGGCGGATTAATTGTGCTAGGTATGTCTGTGTGCATGTTTGTGTTTCGGGTCTCGGCTGCTGGTCAGGATCATGATTAGCTGAATAAATGCAAAATTAGCCCGAAACCGTATTGTATCAATCTACTCACATTATCTGACGTCCCTCTTTGCTGCTATTAGGACTTGGCCGACTTCAAATCTGATGGTTGGTTGCCCGTTCATGACCTTTGCCACCCATACGGGATCTTGTTTGTTTTGGGAAGCCAAAAGACTGGTGAGCGCCCATTCCGATAAATACATTAGATGTGATAATTCATGAAATGTTAACCGGGCTCCTGAACTGCGTTTTCGACTCGAGCGGATTACTTAAATAGGGTTGCAACAATAATTCCCGTGCAGCATAATCCCATAATAATTCAGTTACCTCATGATTCCGGCTTTTAAACGAACGTCTTCCCGCCGCCTGCAAAAATCACATTGTAAAGAATTGCTACTTAGTTACTATTCATCTTCCTAATTTATTTTCGAAAATCTTGCAAACTCAAATATATTTCATGGGAAACATGCACAAAAACATTTATTCTTTTACTTGGAAAATTATTTATTTTTCAAATGTTGTACCTGGAGGAAGGCTATAGTTCGGTTTTCATGAAGTTTCCAATTATCAGATTATTTAAGACAGCAAAATGCCTGTTCATATAGCATGTTGTCTCCGCATTTTCTAATGCTGCTTGCAAAGTTTAAAATGTGACTCGAATTCACTTTTAAATCTTATGAATTCCATATGGTCTCCTCTTAATATCGTATACAAATGCATGATTCTCCGTGCACGAAAAACATACAGCTTGTGGGATTGTGCTGCGTATTGATTATTATTTTCAATTCGAAAACGCATTTCAGAATTTCGGCTAACATTTCATGAGTTAGCAGATATAATGCATATGTATGACGACAGAGAATGGGGGTAGATTGATGCAGTACTGTTTCGGGTTTATTTTGCCTTCATTCAGCCAATCATAGCCCTGACCAACAGCTGGGATCAGATAAACATGCGCCCAGACGCTCTTGGCGCATACGATTTACAACTGAGGTCTACCAAGTGGGTCATAAGCACTTCATCGAACCGAAGTTCATAAGTGCCTCGCCACCTCGGATGTAGTATGCATTCTGAGAAGATAATAAAAAAAGGAAAAGTTTCGTCGGAAAATCGGAATATACTCGTGAATTTGCAAGTCGTTTACACCAACTCGTCTTCAGACGAAATGAATAGCGTGGGAGGGATAATCGCACTAGGGAGTGCATATATATGATGAATGGACGCTAACCGAACAGGTTACTGAACATGCTTGTCCCGTCGTGCCTTGGGGCTCAAATTAGAACCTCCGCAGGCAGTTGCACGGCGATTAGTGATAAATGTGATCGCTGAGCGCCCATCCACCATAATAAATATTCCCGAGCACAACCGACAGGACAAAGAGCCCGTGGCTCAGTTGTAGAGCGCTCGACTCAATGAACAAGGATCCTGGACTCGAATCCTATGCGGTTCACACTTGGGATTGGCTGTCTGATGACGGATAATAATCCAGAAATGGTCATACCAGTCTCCCTCTTCTTTGCCGGTAATGTTATTCTGTCTATCTATATGCATACCAGTTCGAAAATTCGTAAGCACATCTCGGTTTTTTTCGACGACCCTTATCGCTTCATCACTTCAAGTCTGAATGCACACTACCTCAGCTATTCATTTATAAATAACTATTTATACATTGGCAGAATGAGACTACCGAAAAACAAGGGCAACTAGATGGCCATTTCTGAACTAATGGCCGTCACCATGCAGTCATCTCCAACCCCAGAGCATGCAGCACTTCAGGCTAGACCCGGTACTATTATGACTATGTCTTACGCTCTAAAAATTGAGACGCGGACTCATTGTCCTGTCGGTTGCGGCCGGGTATATTCACGATGGTAGTGAGTGTTCACTAATCTTGTTACACGACCTACATGTCAGATTGTGCTTAGAGACATGATTTAAAGCTCCATAGGCATTTGGTAGCGATCAGGAATATATCCTGAAGGGGATGGCCGACAAAGGCAAGAGAGACTGGGATGACCAGTTCTGGCTGGCTGCGGCTAATAAGCCAGCAATGACCACCCCAGTCTCCCTAAAAATACATATGTTACAATATTCGCTTATCGCTCGGCTTCCACCAATAACAGGCAGAAACTTCAATCCTTATAACAAATACAACGAAAAGTCTATGTGCACATACTTGGCCTTGTTTTCGTGGTGAGCCATGTCTATGCGGCCACCCTCAACAAAAAGGAAGAACCCCTTTTCGTTTTTACTGAGGATTTTGATGGCTTTTTCTGTCAGGTCCTTGAGTGTTGGACCGTCACTGCCTCTATCAAGCACGTAGGGCAGATGGAGTGGGAAGAGCAGGCCTGAGGAAAGAAAATCAAAAGGACGAATTATATTCCACCTAGTTCTATGAAAGTCGGACATACAATCGAGAGTAATTAACCTACCCAGGATGTAGTCAGCGTCATCAAGCGATACATTTCGAAATTCAGCCGCACTGCTTATCAGCACGGCCTTTCTGCCTTTGTCCTTCTGAGCTTTCAGCCAGAGTTCAGGCAGGTTCTGCGTATCTGTGCGTTCTCCAACCATTGCGGGATCGCTGGGTAGGTGTTTCGTGTTGGGATAAAACTTCGCTTGTCCACCTCCAAGGATAACATTGATGTCTAGGTTGCCTAGTGCGAGCTGTTGAGCTATGTCCGTACATTTGCAGCCAGGACCGGCGCAATCAAGCATTAGGTCTCTAGCAATTAGTTAGAAAGATTATCGTAAAGTGAATTTCTTTAGATTCATGACGAAAGCAGAATGTTCTCTTACATATGATGCTGTGCATTCGATGTTGGTTAAGGCGCATTTCTCTAGCAAGCTGGATACTTCGTTTGGTAACCCGCGTGTCCTTAGCGTAAAAAATCGGTATAAATATACTCATGAAGCCGCAAAACATAAAAGGTGTTAAGACATTTTCCCTGGTCCACAACAACTTAAGAACTAATTATGCTTCAATATGATTAGTTCGGAAGTATTCTGGACAAAAGCAAGCTTGTCAAGGGAATCAAGTTTAGCGACATTATGCAGTTTGCCACCCCTTTTCCTCTGTGGAATCTTTCGTAGATTATTTAAAAGTAAGCACTACGCCTGCAAACTAGTGCAATAAACCCAGACGTGATACCACAGCAGCAAAAGTGACAGTGAATCAACGTACTCGGTCGAATACCTACTGAAGCGACTGTGAGCAACAGTGAAAAGGACTCGTATACTTCAATCCCGAAGCGTCTGTTGGGCGCAGGCCATATTACTGATCACAGACTGAGATTTACGGTCCTCTTACGCAAAAATCTCGTTCACATACTATGTAACCTAGTGATAACAGAAGTCTCTTTTGGATCGTAACTACGTGGTCAGTCTTGCACAGTCTTCATATAAAAGAAGGTTCAGTTTTCCCCACCTCGTCCCTCACATCTTGCCTGCCTGTGTGTTGAAGCTACTTCCCAGTACTTATGGATCTATCGACATGTTCGACAGTTTTTTTAATTCTCTTGTGTTATGTCTGCTTTTGCATAAAGCATGGTATACTGTGTGCAGCTCAGTGAAAGGCCATTAAGCCTGCTGTTGTAATTGAATTCGTTTTCTTCTCACCTTTGACTTCCTTATAGTCCAGATTAGAAGTGTTGTATCGGCTCCTACATTCAATGTCATACCTTCTTTCTTCAATATTCTCCAGCACACCAAAGACAATACTGACTTACTAAATGAATGTTTCCAATGGTGGCCAGTATACGTACTTTCTAGAGCATTCTGCTCGAATCAAAAGCGTGCTTCTTTAAACTGACCAGCAGTCAGGTAACTCGATCGGTAACACAAATAGCTTTACTTTTATTCCTGTTGCCTACTCAGGCAAATCAGGGCAGT